TTTTTTTTTTTTTTTTTTTTTTTTTTTTTTTTTTTTTTTGTCTCTGGCTTTGACAAGACAAGGGGAATTGCTGCTAAATAATGTTTCTGGTAACTTTCCGATTATTTCCCCCTTTACCTCCCGCCCCCTCCGATGCACCCTACCTCTGCTCTCCCCTTCCCGGCGCTGATTTATTTCTCGAGCCGCTTCGGATTCTGCTTCTTTATTCCTTCATATGGGTTTTTTTTTTCTCCTTCCTTCCTAACGCGGAGCGGCTCTGGCTTCTCCCCTCGCTTCCTTCCTTCCCCGCGACCCGGCCGGGCTGCCCCCGCCGCGGGCGGCCCCGCACCCCGCACCCCAGCGCTCTCCCCTCTCTCTCCTTCTCGCACTCCGCGCCCCGCTCAGCCCCCCCGGCTCCTCTCCGGGCCGATCCCTCCGCACGTTCCCTTCTCTCCGTTACGGCTGTTCCCGGGTTGTTGTGCTCTGCTGGCGCCTGGCCGGGTGCTCCACTCTCTTCTGACTTTTGTTGTTGTTGTTTGTTTGTTTTTTTTTTATCCCCCCCTCCTCCCCCCCTCCCTTCCCCTCTTTCTCCCTCTCTCTTTCTTCCGGCCCGCGCTGACAGTACGATGAGCTACCCCACTACGGCGGGATGGACGGCGTAGGGGTGCCGGCGTCCATGTACGGGGACCCGCACGCCCCCCGGCCGATCCCCCCGGTGCACCACCTCAACCATGGGCCGCCGCTACATGCCGGACAGCACTACGGCGCCCACGCCCCGCACCCCAACGTCATGCCGGCCAGCATGGGCTCCGCTGTCAACGACGCTCTGAAGCGGGACAAGGATGCGATCTACGGGTAGGCACAGCAGGGCCCGGGCCGGCAGCGGGAGGGCAGCGCGGAGCGGCGCCGGGGGAGCGCCCCGGGGCCGGAGTGGCGCGGAGGGGGGCGCGGAGCCGGGGCCCGGCTGCGGTGGCAGCGCCCCGGGAGGCGGCTGCGGGGCACCGCGCGAGGAAGGCCCCGGGGGTGCTGCCCTGGTTGATTTTTTTTTTTTTTGCCCCCTGCTTTGTTTTTTCTTTCTCTTCTTCTCTTTTCTTTTTCTTTTTTTCTTTTTTTCTTTTTTCTTTTTTTTTTTTTTTTTTTTTTTTTTTTTTTTTTTTTTTTTTTTTTTGTGAGGTTGTTTTTGTCTCGCTCCGAAGGCCAGGGCAGCACTTCAGGCTCGCGGTGTTCTGAGTTTGGGTGGAAGAAGTGTAGTGTTGGTGCTTTACTCCGTGCCACAATACTGTGCTGTAAATAAAGGGCTGCTCTGATCACGGGCGAAACAGGAGAGATTCGCTGCCCACGAGCTGTTCTTTCCCGAGAACGGAGCATTGAGCATTGGTGGCAGCGTGGAGCTCTGTGTGGAGCAGAGAAAGGGTGCGGGGAGGAAGAGCAGTGCGGCCTCGTGCGCTGCCGGGGGGCACCGAGTACTCCCTTTTTAAAAGAAACCCCCAATTATCCCGAAGGAGAGAGTGCGATGCGCGGTGGAGTGTGGGCCTTGCTCAGACCCAAACAAGAGAGCACACCAGCCGAGTCCTCATGCTCAGCACGCAGATCAGATATTTTTTCCTGACTGCACCAACTATGGGAAAATATTCGGCGAAGCGCTGCCGCCCCCTGCCCCCTCCCCGCGCCCTGCTCGGACACTGCTGTTTGGCCCCGGGTGCTGCGAGGCCAGGGAACTTCAGTGCAGTGCTACTAGCAGGCCCCTTGCGAAAATAAAATCCCGTTCCGAGCGGTTCGCAGTTTGCCTGCCCGCGGTGCGCCCTGTAGGTCATAGCTGGAGAGGAGGGCTGGGAACTCCGCGTTTCGCGTTATTTTAAACCGCGGTGCAGAGAGGAGGTTCCCGGGAGAGGAGCGAGGCGCTGGGCCGGGCACTCTGTCCGCGGGGGCTGCACAGGGGATGCGTTGGGGCTTTCGCGGTTGCCGAAAGAAACAAGACCCCAAACCCGCAAAAACCACGTTTTTATTTCAAAATGGGCTTCTGCCCCGCTCCTCCCGAAGCGATATTGGGAGTCTGCAGAGCGTGTCCGCGTGTCCGTGCGTGTCCGTGCGTTTCCAAATTACTTGTTGATCAGAGCTCTTCTTCCCCCCTCTCCCCCACCCCCCTCCCGCCCTTTGTGTGCCACTGCCCGGTAGGCACCCGCTGTTTCCCCTCCTCGCCCTGGTCTTTGAGAAGTGCGAGCTGGCGACCTGCACGCCCCGGGAGCCCGGCGTGGCCGGCGGGGACGTCTGCTCCTCCGACTCCTTCAACGAGGACATCGCCGTCTTCGCCAAGCAGGTCCGGCACCGCTCCCCCCGGGGCCCCCCTCGGTGGGGGCGGGAGGGGGCGGCGGGTGCCCTCCGGGCCGGGTCCTCACCCCGTGCCCGATGGAAGGGGCCGTGGATGAGGATCGGGGGGAGGCTGCAAAGAGGGGATCCCTAGGGCTGGAGGAAGAAGCCACAACCCACGCCGCTTTTCCTTCTTCTCGTAGGTCCGCGCTGAAAAACCACTTTTTTCTTCAAACCCAGAGTTGGACAATTTGGTAAGGCCTCACCCCTGCGCCCGCCGTCCTCCGCCCGCCCCTAGTCCCGGACAGCGCCCACCGAGCGGGACAGGAGGCGGCCGGGCCGGGAGGGCTTCCCGCCTCCCTGAGGGGTTCCGAGGGCCGCGCTCGGGGCGAGCCGGGGCAAACGCTCCGGCCCTGGCGTGCCGCGAAGCGGGCTTAGAAGCCGCGGGAAGCCAAAGTGAAGGAAATAACTGCTTAAGAAGAGGGAGCTGGAGATTTCTAGCGTTAATTCTTTTGCTAATGTGAACGATTTCAATATTCAAAGTGCCTAAATCCTCTTGTAAAGAAGACGCCAAACTATTCATCTCCCTCCTCCCCTTTCTTCCCCGGGCGGTGGGGGGGTGAGAGCGTGTGTTCGGCCCTCCGCGGCCCCTCCTAGAGCAGAGGAAGAGTCTCTGCTTCACCCCTCACCCCGAATCAATCTGATAGAAACCGAGTACTCGGGATAAAGC